AATTTCATAAACAAAATTTTGGGACCCCTATGGGGTCGCCTCTCTCTCCAATATTAGCCGATTTAGTAATGAGGGATTTAGAGGCAAGGACATTGGAGACCTTGGGTTTTCAACCTTTGTTTTATTTTCGGTACGTGGATGATATTATGACAGTTCCAAAAAATTTAGTTGACTTTACACTTGAGACTTTCAATTCGTTACATGACAGATTAAGGCCGTGGTCCGAATCATGCTGACAACGCTCATGAGCATTGTTTGTCTTCGTTTAACATTTGACAAACAACAAGGATGAAATGATTTTTAAGCGTTGTGAGCGTGTATCGGACCGCGGCCTAAAATTTACCTTAGAGTTTGGTGATGACAAAATAAATTTTTTGGATATTACGATTATTAATAATAACAATTTAATTGAATTTGACTGGTACCATAAGCCTACGTATTCGGGAAGATACCTTAATTTTTTATCGGCACACCCACTCTCACAAAAAAGAGGCATAATAATAGGTATGACAGATAGAGCGTTTTTATTATCGGATCCGAAGTATCACCAGAAAAATTTGGAACATATTGTTAGTACATTATTACGAAATGATTATCCTATTGACTTAATTTTCAATACTATTAATGCACATTCAAAAATTCTCTTTCATAAAGGTACGATACAACAGAAAGAATCAAGTGACGAAATCAAGAGGGATTGTACTTCATGGTTTGTATTACCTTATGTTCCAAAAATTTCAGACGAGTTTAAAAGAATCAGTAAAACCTTTAATACTAAATTAGCTTTTAGTAGCTTAAATAAATTAAATAGTTTAATCAAGGGACATAAAGATATTCTCCCAAGAGAAAAAAGAAAAAATGTGGTTTACAAAATTTCATGTAAATCTTGCGATGCCTCTTACGTCGGACAGACGAAAAGAAAACTAAAAACTAGATTGGCTGAGCACTGCAATCATATTAACCGGAATAGTAATAACCAATCAGTGATTACAGAACATCGTATTGAATTTGATCATGACTTCGATTGGGAGAATGTCGCGATTTTAGATGAAGAGTGTTCTCTGAATAAACGGTTAATATCGGAACGCCTTCATATATTAATGCAACAAAATAGTCTGAATTTACGCTCAGATACAGAAGGTGTACATCACACAATTAATAAAAGACATCAAATAGTTTTATATTTTCGGTTATACAAAAATTTTTGTTTATGTATTGACATTATTTTTCTTTTTTTATTTTCGTCATTCTTTTTATTTTCGTGTTTTGACCTAACATGTCTTTTCCGATTATATTAAGTGTATTACTCATGTTCCGTTCGAGCTGCGATCAACATGCGTTTTTTAACTTGATACTTTTTAGTAAATATTAATGGTAATTAATTGATCCAATGTTGAGACGAATTCTTTCTATGTCTTGGGGTGAGTCACCAGTTTTATTGTTAATTTGAAACTTGTTCAATAGAAATATTTATAAGATAATTTTAATGCTTTGAATAGATTAGAACATCAAATCTACTAATCTGATGGTGATTTTTCCTTAACATGAAGGGATTGATATTTTAAATTTGTTTGGCTGAAGATGGTTCCAAAGTGAACTGAAACGTACTATTTTTGGAATAAAGATTCTATTTTCGGATTTAAGAATTAAGATTGCGTATTAATTACCACGCTGACTCTCATTCGCCCTGTTGGAGTTTTTTGTTGTTTATTATATGTAGTATATATACAATTTATCAATTTACATCCAAAATATTATCAGTGACGATAGAATTGCATAATAATACAAAGTAATAAATCAATATATCCTATATATATCTTCTTATATGTTCTGACGAGTTCACCAAACACAGTTGGATAGCATCTTTTTTTCAGTATACGCTTGCCGTTTCCAGTCTTTGATCCAGTTCACATTTCTGCATTAAAATGTACCTGGAATAATATACAACATACATCGTTTAATAATTTATTTATATTAAAAAATCACAACCTTTGTAGAAAAGTACTACTGAGCAGTGGTGCACATTTGGCTCCCCGGCAACAAGAGAATCATCCCCACCACTCTCGCTATCTCGCTCCCTCTCGCGCAGCTGCTGCGCGAGAGCGAGCGAGACAGCGAGAGTGGTGGGGATGATTCTCGTGTTGCCGGGGAGCCAAATGTGCACCACTGCTACTGAGTACTAGGAGTATTTTGAGAGGCACTACAGCACTATTGTACTACTACATTACTGTAGTAATGCAGAAGTGTTCAGTAATGCTGAGTAGTGCTAAGAACTTCTATATATCCGCGTTTCGGCAGGATACCAGGTATGTAAATATGAAACCGGAATGTTAGGAAAAATGTATAGCTAGCCCATCGCTAGCTATACATTTTTCCCACCTGTCTGAATTTGTGGATGCCACACCAAAAAAATTGTTTCTCTTTTGAGCCAAACCAGTCATCTAGCCATTTTCGTACATCTTCGTAAGAAGTAAAGCGCTGCTGAGCGAGTGCGTGTCCCATCGATGCAAATAAGTAGTAATCGGGCGGAACCAAGTCTGGTGAGTAAGCCGCATGCGAAAGTATTTCCCAACCAAACGCCTCAATCGTTTCCTTGATCAATTTTGCTGTGTGTGATGGTGCATTATCATGAAGCAAAATCACTTTGTGTTGCCTTTTTTGATATTCCGGTCGTTTTTCACGCACAGCTTGATTCAAATTGATCATTTGTTGTCGTTCAGTATTAACGGTTTCGCCAGGTTTTAGCAATTCATAATTTCTGATCCCACCAAACACAGAGCATTGTCTTCCGTTCATAGCGATTTGGCCTTGCAGTCGATGTCGATGGTTCGCCTGGTGTTACCCATGATCTTTTACGTATAAGATTCTAAAAATATATCCACTTTTCATCGCCAGTCACAATTCGATGGAGAAATGACTTTCTTTTGTACCTGGCGAGCAGCATTTCGCAAGTGGTTTTTCGGTTTTCCTGCTGTCTTTCAGTCAGTTTATGTGGAACCCATTTTCTCATCTTCTGGATCTTTCTCATGGATTTCAAACGTATGGAGACGGCTTCTCGTGTCACATTCAATTGATCCGCGAGTTGTTCAGTTTGAGCGTCATCCTCATCCAACAATGCTCGCAGTTCGCTGTCTTCAAACTTTTTCGGTGGTTTTCCATGTTCTTCATTTCTCACGTCAAAATCGCCACTTTTGAATTTTTTAAACTACTCAAAGCACTGATTTATCAAGAGCATGCTCACCGTAAGCTTCGACAAGCATTCGATGCGATTCTGCAGCAGTTTTCTTCAAATGGTAACAGAAAATCAATGTTGTCCGCAAATCGTAGTTTCCAGGCACAAAATTCGACATGTTCAACGCTATTACAAACTATACTGTTGTATGAAACTTGTATTGTTGTGAGTTGAAAATCTTTGTCAGATGTCAGAACAAGGAAATGGCGTCAACGACGCGGTCTGACGGCAACTACATTGACAGCTATGGCCATCTATTGGTAAATTCATATTTACATACCTGGTACAAAATGCAGGAAATGAATATGCATCACAGAAACTAACTGTTAATAACTTTATTTTTAAAAAAACATTTTCAGAGACTCTACGAGAACACTCTGATCAAGCTAAGAGTAAGTGATGGATTTCATTTACATATGCTTATTTATAGGGATCCGCGTCATTTTCTCCTTACGGAAAACGAGTCCATCTTGCAACGATACTGCGTATTATGCCGCTTGCAGAGTTTATGTACGCTATAGAGCGTACAAGCAAGTACAGTAGTGTTATAGTGTTGTAGTACAGTAGTGCCTCTCAAAATACTCCTAGTACTCAGTAGTACTTTTCTACAAGGGAAAAGCAAATTCTTACTGACATAACACTGAATTATTAGATGGAGTCCAGTCTGTCTGATGTTTCAGCTCAAATTTTTTTGGATTTCGAGGAAAACGACACATTTTAAAACCCTTTTTCACAGAGTTTGTGCACTAATCTGTTATATAGCCAGGCATTGTGCAGCTCTAATGTGTCAACAAACAAATAGATTAAGTTATAATGACTACACAAGAAATTCATTTCATTTAAAAAATATATAATTCCACTGCAATCCATTCGCCACTTACCTTTCCTTCTCAATTTGAATGATTCGCCGAATAAAATGACCAGCAAACAAACAACTCACCTCTGACACAGAAAACTCAATCGAAACAGTATAAATTAATGGCTGTGTAAATGGTGTACACTGTGTACACCCAAGCAAAAATTCTTTCCCTCGGTTACTTTTTTAAAACTTCCAAAAATTCAAGTTATTTCGTCTTTACATCTAATTTAGTTTTAAGCGGACGTAAGGTTTAGTCGTGTCGATAACCGCGCACGGACTATGAGCATTAATGTAGAAAAATGGTCATTTCTCAGTTTATGAAAATTTCCTAGGGAAAGAATCGAAGTCCTTGGGTGTACACACGGGGTGTATGAAACTTCCGCTTTTACCTCAATTTGGCGGACCAATCACCGATCATTACCCTATTGGCCGTACTCTTAGACCGCGGTCCGATTCACGCTCACAACGCTTAAAAATCATTTCATCCTTGTTGTTTGTTAAATGTTAAACGAAGACAAACGATGCTCATGAGCGTTGTCAGCATGAATCGGACCACAGCCTTATAGATACTCTAGGCCATATCGTATTCTGTCCTTTTCTACTGTCTAACATTTCCACTTACAGGGGCCCCTATGCCTTGCCTACTCTACATATACAACCTCTTTGGTGTCGCCACCATCAACGCTGAGTTCTTAATTGAGTACTCAAGAGCCTTAAATAATGAATTTCATAATCCCATTGTGTCTTTATAAATTTCAATCCTATATCTCGAATCATTCATATTTTATTTAGGTTGCTTTGGCGAACACTGTATATATAATGTTTACGACAAATTAAGAAATATATATGTGTATATTATGAATATAAATATATAGATGCAGTGTTTTCCATAAAATTCATAAATTTTAGGAAAGATTTTTCTACGGCATGGATGAATCTAGGTATAGTTCAGTCAGCATTGAAAAAATATGAGGAATCAGAAACGAGCTATTTTATGGCTCTACAATATCGATCAAATTACCCAGATTGTTATTACAATTTAGGCGTATTAGTAAGTACTATATAATGAAATTATGATTTTAATCTGGTTTTAAAAAATGTTACAAATTATCAAAATTTATGATAGTATCTGGAACGAAAACAATACAATAAATCATTAAGAGCTTGGATAAACGCAACTAAACAAAAACCTACGCATAAACGAGCATGGACAAATATGATATTACTATTAGATGATTTAGGTTTGTGTTTATTTAAATTAACACTGTAGCGCGCGCGCGCGCCGCTTTCTATACATTAATTACTATAATGTTAAGAAAAACATATTTTAAGATATTCTCTATAATTTTAGATAGGACAGAAGAAGCATTAAAAATGGCAAACAAAGCTTTGAAATTTATTCCAAATCATGCTTCTATCTATTTCAATATTGCTAACATACTGGGAAAAAAAGGAAAATATGAGGAGGCAGAAATCCAATTTAAGCAAGCGATATCGAGAGATCCTACAGGCCCTATGATTTATGCAAACTTAGGTATATCGGGAAATGCATAAGAGAGAGAAAGTATTTCATTTTAAACGGACTATCTTTTTCTATTGATGTCGAAAAATGTAATAAGTTTAAAACAGAACACAGGGATTTGGTATATACAATTATAACTTACATCATCAGATAACATTACATGTATTCGATAAGTGATTTAAGTTACTGTTAATCTCTTATTGTGTTGATTTTTATAATTAGAGACATCTCATCAATCAATCAATTTGGAAAGTAGTTAATAAAATGATCTATAATTGTGACTAAAAAAAAAACAGATTTTATAACAATCATTTATATATATTGATTAGTATATATTATATATACTATATAGTATATATACATAGTATATAGTATATATACATATATGTCTTTTCTTTCACTTTTTAAGATCAAAACATAGCTTTATATATATATATACACAGGGTGGGGCATTTTAATCGCCCCAGGTGAATATCTCAGAAACCAAAAGAGATACAAGAAAAAGTTTTATGTGAAAATCGTAGGTTTTCTTGGGGGAAAAAAGGTAGAAATAACGGATTTCGAATAGGGAACACTACCAAGATCAGGTAAAGGTCAACATGAATTTTTTTAATGGAACCCACTATTTTTCATTGCATATTCTTGTAACACATCTCGAGAGCTTTCTAAAACACTATAATAAAATATTTTTTCATGTAGTTTTCGAGTTATAAGGCTGAATTTATTGTTCTTGGATTGAAAACTATTTAGTAGAAAATTCATTATTAGATTATGTCTGTAGTCATTGTAAAAAAAGATTTTAGAATTTGGATATCTTCAAGTTTCATTGAGATGAGCTTTTAAACCTTGTTTATTATTTAATAAATAAATATTTGGCAATAAATTCTTCATGTAGTGATAGAGTAAGGTTGTACTAATAGAAAAATATGGGATATGTTGAATTGCTTAATTACAGAAGTTAGATTTGATGATCGTAAAATCGTAAGGCGTAGAAATCGTAATATGAGATACCCAGGGTATTTCTAATATGAAATAATTCATGCTCTTATGTTATAGTGAAAATCGTTGCTAAAGTATAAATGTTATCGTACAATAATAAAAAGGACAACCGGAATGAACGTCGAGTGCCTATTTCTGTAATAAATGATTTCTACTACCTGAAGATGAGTTCTGGATATAATGTATCGCATACTCATTTTTCGCGCACGCTGGCTGTGTTTGTTTGTATTTAAGAAACATGAAATTAAGTTTTTTAATTGCAATACTGATATACTTTGCGTTTTATTATCGATTTCTTAGGGCATCTCATATTAGGAGCACAATTTTTTGACTTTGTGATTTGCTCACTTTTTATATTTCTTTAATTTAAAAAAAAATGGAATTTGAATTAAATTTATATAAGTTATCTTAAAGCTTATTAAATTCCCTTCAAAATGTGTGATCTATTATTTTTTTAATTCTGCCCATAGATTTCTAGCATTTATTCAAAATGAACTCGGTATTTCATAATAGGGGCCTTTCCTCTACTATCTAAACAAATATTTATTCAAATTTTATAAATTGTTTTTGTAATGTATATGCGCCTTCGCATTTTCATAAAATAACAAGCTAAAAAGATCTCATAACGCAATATTACTTCTATAAGAGATAAATATCAGCATAAAAACATGTATCTGCATCGCGAATTAGAAGCATTTTATTTATTATAACGTTTTTAAGACCGAAATTGCAAAATCTTGTTTAGTAAGCTCTTGTAGCTTCATAAAATGCAAGTCAAAACAAGCTTCACGGTAAAATATTTCTTCTACAAGATAATACATGGTAGAGTTTTATAGAGTGCAGATATGTAGTTGCACCGCAAATGAGGTGTAAATAAGTTAGCTTGTCACTCCCGTTGACCCTTAATAGATTCAAAGTTTTTCAAAAATTAAGTTTTGATGTAAGAAAGCCAAAGGAAAGACATATTGATAAAAAACTTTTTCTGAATTTTTTAAATAAGTACAGCTATAACAATTTGTCTGAACTGTACATCATTACATCGACGATTTCTTCAGACTATTCTTCAAACTAGTATGACAACACTAATTTTTAATTGATACATAAGATATGAATAATTTAAGATAATATATAAAATCAGAAATATTTTTTATTTAGGTGTCTTATATCATCGTTGGAATAAATTAAATGCCGCAGAGGAGATGTATAAGAAAGCACTACAATTAAAGCCAGATTTACACAGTGCAAAAGACAACTTGCAAAGATTGTATACATTAAAAGCATCGATAAAATAACTTTGTTACATTAATATTTTACATTAAACATATATACTAATATGTATTTCAAATATATTTATACACACACATACGACGGATACATATATAAAAGTTTAAGATTTCTTAGGTCTTCTTATTATCGACATTAATTGTGGTATACAAGGATAACTATATGCTTTGAAATTTCCAACTTTTTTGCCGTCGACATAGTTATAAGATATGAAACATCTATTGCAAAAGTAACTTGTATCATGTGGTATTCTATCATGTTCTGTTACAATCCAATGCACATTAAATATTCCGCAATAGATGCAGTTTTTTCCAGAAACAGGTCTTATTTTTTCTATTCTTGGATAGGCAGATGATGTTAATACATCATCAACAGTTACCAACCTAACAAAAATAATTGATTTGTTAATAACGTTTATTTAATAATTATGAAGTAAAAATGACTTACTATATATAATTACTTACTATATATATAATAAAAAAATTATTTTTTCAAGTACAAGAACGAGAATAATTATTTCCCATTCTTTTTGAGCGTTAAATATGATTTCCCAAATTTCTCTATCACATTACAATTTGGAAAAGGGAGAAAGATTAATAAAATCATTTTTGGCCCGCTAATGATTTTCAAAAAACAATTTTTTTATCTTATATGATCATCAGGTCAAAAATAACCATTAAATGAGAAAAAACTTGATCTATAAAGCTATAATAAAACTAATAATAAAGGCTTTATGAATAAATCAAAATTGTGTAACAATAGGAAAATGAAAGGTAACACTGGTTCTTGTTGCGAAATATCATTCTTTCATTTTCAGAAAAACAAATATTTCGATTTTTATTAGATCAATTTCAGTATGAAAAATTACACAAGCCCACAAAAAAAAGTACCTTGTGCTACGGTGGAGACCCAGCTATTCTTATATATTTTGAGTCGCTAAATACGAATCTGACATCAAAATAGAACCTTTCAGGGCAAATTTTCAACCTAGAGCTAAAAAATGAGCCATTTTTACCCATTTTTTCGCTCTAGATTGAAAATTTATCCTGGATAGTCCTATTTTGACGTCAGATTCGTATTTAGTGACTCAAAATATATAAGAACAGCTGAGTCTCCACTGCAATACAGGACAGTGGTGCACATTTGGCTCCTCGGCAACACGAGAATCATCCCCACTACTCTCGACCCCACTACTGCGCGAGAGCGAGCGAGACAGCGAGAGTGGTGGGGATGATTCTCGTGTTGCCGGGGAGCCAAATGTGCACCACTGATACAGGGCACTTTTTTTTGCGGGCCTTATCGTTCAATACATATACAAAAATACATTCGAAAAAACCTTCTACAAAATCATGTCAATTTTCCCCTCGCTCCCTCCCTCCCTTTCTCTCTCTGTATGTAATTAATCTAAATCAACAAAACCATGATTTTGAATGGGACAATCAGTCACAATCCTGGATATACCAGGTATATAAATATAAAACCGGAATTTTTTAGTAGAAAATACACGTTTATTGCATGAAAATGATAAAAAATATTTTATTCGAAGTGTTGCCCATCGCTAGCTATACATTTTTTCCACCTGTCTGACAATTTGTGGATGCCACGCCAAAAAAATTGTTGCTCTTTTGAGCCAAACCAGTCGTCTAACCATTTTCGTACATCTTCGTAAGAAGTGAAGCGCTGCTGAGCAAGTGCGTGTCCCATCGATGCAAATAAGTAGTAATCAGACGGAGCTAAGTCTGGTGAGTAAGCCGCATGCGAAAGTATTTCCCAACCAAACGCCTCGTTTCCTTGACCAGTTTTGCTGTGCGTGATGGTGCATTATCATGAAGCAAAATCATTTTGTGTTGCTTCTTTTGATATTCCGGTTGTTTTTCACGCTTGGTTTAAATTGATCATTTGTTGTCGGTAACGTTCAGTATTAACGGAGTTTCGCCAGGTTTTAGCAACTCATAATAGATCACACCTTTCTGATCCCACCAAACACAGAGCATTGTCTTCCGCCCATAGCGATTTGGCTTTGCAGTCGATATCGATGGTTCGCCTGGAGTTACCCATGATCTTTTACGCTTAGGATTCTCAAAATATATCCACTTTTCATCGCTTCACAATTCGATGGAGAAATGACTTTCTTTTGTACCTGGCGAGCAGCATTTCGCAAGTGGTTTTTCGGTTTTCCTACTATCTTTCATTCAGTTCATGTGGAACCCATTTTCCCATCTTCTGGATTTCAAACGTATGGAGACGGCTTCTCGTGTCACACTTAATTGATCCGCAAGTTGTTGTTGAGTTTCAGCGTCATCCTCATCCAACAATGCTCGCAGTTCGCTGTCTTCAAACTTTTTCGGTGGTTTTCCACGTTCTTCGTTTCTCACGTCAAAATCGCCGCTTTTGAATTTTTTAAATCACTCAAAGCACTGTGATTTACCAAGAACATGCTCACCGTAAGCTTCGACAAGCATTCGATGCGATTCTGCAGCAGTTTTCTTTAAATGGTAACAGAAAATCAATGCTGTCTGCAAATCGTAGTTTCCAGGCACAAAATTCGACATGTTCAACGCTATTACAAACTATACTGTTGTATGAAACTTATATTGTTGTGAGTTGAAAATCTTTGTCAGATGTCAGAACAAGGAAATGGCGTCAATGACGCGGTCTGACAGCAACTACATTGACAGCTATGGCCATCTATTGGTAAATTCCGGTTTCATATTTACATACCTGGTAGAGCCTTCATATTACATTATTAGATTATTAGATTATATTACTATTAGATTAATATTACATTATTAGATTATAGGATGTATGTGCAGAGTAAAACAGGAAACAAATTTCTGTTCTAAGAACAAAAATTATTTAAGAAAATATGAAAGTCGTGCACCGCCAAGCAGGGAGAGGGGGGATGGTAAATGGTTGGGTTAGGGTTAGGTTGTTATATACCTATGGGTATATAATAACTGTAACTTAACCCCTAACCCAACCATAGTACATAGTTTGGTTAGGGTTAGATTATTATGTATCCAAGGGTATGTAATAACCTAACTGTAACCATGGCTTAATTAGAGTTAGGTTATTATATACCCATTTGTATCATGTGGTCAATCGCCATGTGGTCAATCGCATTGTGGTCATTTGCAAGTCATGATCACTTGCAACGTGGTCAATCTTAACGTGGTCGCTTTAGGTGAAAGTCGTGCGCTCCCAAGAAGGAGGTAAGAATCAAAATTTGCATTTTGTATAGCAGAAATGTAATGTTATTTCTTAAAACAATATATTTATGACCGTATATTTGAGAAACTCAATTAATAATAGAATGTAACGGCCTATTACGGTTGGAGCTGGATCTTCGTTGCTTTAAATAATTCAATCTTGAATTACTAATATATACTATATATGTACTTGCATATATACCATATTGTAGTCTTTTTCAAACTGCGCGCCGAATTTTTTTCGGACTAAATAAACGCAATTAAAACTACTCTAGTAATCGCGAATTAAATTGGCAAACAATTTAATAATTTGATGCTACCATCAAGCATCATATATTATAAAGATGTTAATCTATAAAAACTATTAATAAATTTATTGCGAAAAATATTACCTCGGCCGGGACTTGAACCCGGATCTCTTGTAAACCGTACGAGCGTCCTGAGCCATTAGACTACCGAGGCCTTAGTAATATTCTTCGCAATAATCGGTATACTAAGGAAACAACGTCTCTTTCAGGCGACGTAATCTAAACAATATATTTATGACCGTATATTTGAGAAACTCAATTAATAATAGAATGTAACGGCCTATTACGGTTGGAGCTGGATCTTCGTTGCTTTAAATAATTCAATCTTGAATTACTAAATTTCTTAAACTTCTTTTGTTTATAACTCTTTAACGAGTGACGTCCGACAGTTAAAACTTTCTCAAGGTCACTTAGGGTCATGACCTTGACAACATATGTCGAGGTCAAGGTCATTGGGAGGGGACTACCCTAAATTACATAATTATCTTGGCATCTCCTAGCCAGGGAGTTTTCACTCTTGAGATCGATAATAAAATCCATTCTTCTTTCAATTGATCTACCTATATGATTTGACGCTTATCATCACTTTGAAACATTCTGAAGATGGTTCAAATAAAGAACCAAAACGTTAAGTGAATATACATCATATATTGTAAAATTTGTTTTATTTATCACGCTATACCATCTGCGTCCTTCACGTACTCTCATACTAGTCGTTTTCTCTCTAATTTTTTGTAATGAGAGTCCAAATTATTATTATTAAGACTCAATACGTGAAAGTAGTTTTTGAACGCATAGGCCACAAGTATTGAATACTAATAACAACTGATTTAGTTCAATCATACGATGATAGAAAATTAACGCGATTTTGCAGAAGCTTGTTTGTGATCGTATTTTTATATATGTATTCAACGATATTTAAATATTGAATCGTATTATACAATAAAAATCGGAATATTAATTGTTTTTCTGATAATTAAAGAACAATATATGTAGATTAGTTTCGCAATAAGAACCAGTACTGGCTTTCATGTTCCTTTTGTTACACAATTTTTTTATTAAAACCATAATTATTATTCAGAGAGATAGCAAATAAAAATTGTTTATAATTTGTCATAATTATTAATCTAAGTATACTACTATGCAAGATTAGGAAGTAATGTTATTTGTAACACCGTTACAATTTTCGTTACTTTTTCGATAACGATCATTACTTTTTTCTATCTATAACGATAACGAATTAAACCGTTACTTTTATTATTACTTTAATTCCTTATTATCTTCATAACTATTCGATAGATCGCATTATTTTCACAATTAGCTATAAATATTTTATAATGGAAATATTTATAAATATCGATAAATGTTTTGTACTTCGTATCTTAGACTACGATACTTACCGATATTGAAAATCTGTAATATATCTATATGTAACGTGGATTATAAATTTTTTAGTATCGACAAAGAATATTAGAATACATTCTTAATAACGACATCAAAAACAATGTTAATAATAAAAATTTTTAATCTGCGTTTGTAAATTATAATTTCCTAATAATAAG